GCCATGGCAAGTACATCTGTAGAGACTCAGCTGCTATGGAGTAGCCCAAAAGCAGTGCAAGATTTTTCAAGGGAACACACCATTTCTAGAGTGACTCTAGAAACTACATAACCTTCAGGCAACAGATGTGAAGGTAATTCATATTATTTAAATAATATTCTATTATCTAAGCACATTCATTACATATAATTAGTGCACATATTATGGATGTATAGAATACATTCCTGTTACAGATAATATTGCAATTCCTGCATTTTAAGATTCATTTTAACCTCAAATGTTCTGACTGACTGGAACAGCTCTCCTCTTCCTTGGCATACACAAAGCACCACAGAGTACTTATACATGCACACTTGTAGACAGTTTTGAACATGCTGCAGGCTCTCATTATATAACAAAGTCCCTTTGATGTATCTGTTTATTGCCTGGAAAACAGTGTGAGACTTACAAGGTCCACAGGGAACTTTGGGTTAATTAAGTCTATCACTTTCCCATGGATCCTGGTATGATCAGTGACTGAGGCAGCCAGGTAACATTGACTTGATGGGAACTCTTCACTGTTCTTCCAGCTACTCATTATTACTTCTTTAAAAAGCAGTTGTTTCTAGTAGGATCAATAAGGAAGTTTGGAAGAATTTCTAGCAGCTAAATAAAACACATACTTTACATGGGTGGCAGCATATTTCCGGATATATCTGTTATGTACCAATCTTTGTTAAAGAGATAAGATGGGCCTCAATGAATCCTTTCCTGCTACAAAACTCTACAAACAGGTAAAAAGCTTTGTGATGTGGTCAGTCCTGTCTCTTTGTGGCTCTCGATTGTCTCACTGCAATCATGGCAATGGAGCAAGAGAGACACACGGATATCCTTTAGAGCCCTCCAGGTGTTCAGTGCCTGATAACACTAACTTTACTAGGGTTCTTGCACCCTGCCGTCTTGTCTCTGTCTCTTTGAAGAGAGGTGATGACTGCACCGAGGGTTCCAAGTTCCCCTGCTCATTCAAGAAGAGAACAGAAAGAGGTTCAAGGATCTTACAACACAGAAATGCCCTAGGGTTTGCACCGCTGATGGTGATAACAGGTAGAAACCATGAATGCTCCTATTAGGAGCACCATCCGAGTGACAAGATATCAAGGAACCTCTGCAGGCTGGAACTTGCTGAATTTCCCATCCTTTAAGCTGGATTTTCCCATTTGATCGATTCACAGTGTGGTATCACTCTTGGAATGACCTGGAGGAACAAAAAATATAATATATTGGACTGGAATGCAAACCCAGCAAAGGCATGGGTGAGGTGCAGCAACAACCAACAAGTATTGAGCTGCATTGCTCAGGGCAGCATCAGAAAAAAATAAGGTAGAAGTGGAAAAGGGAGTGGAATTTATTGTCTGTGTTCAGCTATGTCTACTCAGAGTGAGCATGGCAGTGTAAAATGTGTCTTGTCTGAACACAGCCTCCGCTATGGTTGGTCAAATTCAGGTGAGGTGATATCAGGTGGTAGGTACCCATTGGCCCCCTCGGGGGAAAAGGAGGGTGGGGAACTCCTGGAAGCAGGAAGGCTGAGTCACTCAGCTCTATTCTCCTTCAAGCAGTCAAGCAACATATGAGATTAGATATGTAATCTGTACTTTTGCCAAAGTGGTAAATGAATAAAGGAGGTTGCAAAAGCAACGGAAGCCCATTCAAATGAAATTGTGTGAAAGTGAGCACAAAATACACCACAGAAAATAGTAAAGAATAAAAACTTTAAAGCTAAAGGAGCTGAAATTTTACAGATTCTTAAGTGTTGCATTGCCAGAGCTATCATGTGGGAATTAACAATGTTTTACCTTTTCTTAGTGAATGCAAAGAAATATCTAACATTTTTTAGATAACATCATCATATATTAAGGGATAACTTTTGCAACACTCTTAAATTCCAAATTTATCTCTTCCCTGTTTGAAACAAACTTTTGACTCTCCTAAGTTTGATGAGTGTTCAAGAATTTGTGGGAGTATGTGAGGGTGGGGTCCACCTTAAAAAAGATCATCCATCATCTAAAACATTTTTCAAATGTACAAGTATTCCATATTGCAAGAGAAGGAAAACTCCCTAAAGCTTCACCTCTGAAGATAGAATGAGTTTCCTATCTTCAAAAGCCCTATCCTTCTTTCCAAGTAAGTATTCATTTTATAATACCCAGAGTTGTCTGGAGAAATAAACTATATTGCTGAGAAAGTAAGCTAATTTTTCCCAAAGATACTCCTAGTAATTTTAAAATACCTAGAAATTGGCAGGGTGTTTTCAAGAACAAATGCATGCAGTTCTTATTCAGAATGGTCTAATCATGAAGCACAGGAGAAGGGAACCACTGGAACTCTGAACACCTCTTTTTGGTTGCTAATTCAGCCACTGATTTTCTTCCCATGACTGTCAAGGTCATCCAGCCTTTCCATACCTTGTTTCCCCAGCTGCAAAATGGAGACAATTTTTCCATAACTCAGATTAAAACTAAGAAAGCTGAGATTTTTATGTTTTCAATATGGTAGGACAGAGGACTTGGGCTACACAGACAGAATTTAAACCCATTCGTTTTCCTTCACTGCCCTGCTATAGAAGGTGTTAGAAAAGTCACTGCCACCAAGTTCTTCAAACATGAAGCTCTGATGCAATGACAACTGGTGCACCTGGAACAAAGAGTCAAAGAATAGAGCTCAGCTGTGAACTTTTTCATAATGAACACAAGTCCTAAGATGAACAATGCCAGGAAATATTTTATTGATGTTAAGCAGCTTGACTCAGAAGCACCAACATTATACTGGCTTTAGTGACACTGTAAATGCCCCAGATAAAGTGACTTAGATGTGATTGGTATCAAGGGGTTGCTTTGTGGATATTGGCTGAAACACAAGGCTTGGTAAGTGCAATGAGACCTCAGATGCACTTAGCCATAGACTTGTGGTCAGTGCCATTATGGAAGAGGCTGTTAATGAAGTTAGACTCCAGACATATTTGCCTCAGACCCTGCTATTCTGAAATGCACTCTTCTGAAGAACAGTCAAAACTACATACCCCTGGACGCTAAAAATCCCATGCTTTGGCTGAGACAGCTTTGAGATCTTCACTCTCACATTAACCCACCTTCCGAGAAAAAAGGCTGCACAGAGATCTCCTTTTTCTCCTGATGCTCCACACTGTCCTTGCACAACTGCTTGCATCACAGGTGAAATGCACACGTGAACTGCTGAGAATGAGCATGTTTGCCTCCTGTAAAGAGTCACACATGAAGATAAAAGTCTGCCCTGAAAAGAAACAAGAAGATGAGGCAGAAGAAATATAATGCATCCTTGGAGAGGAACGTGCAGCTCCAACACGCGGGTCCAGGTGCTGACAGTCCTGCACACAGAGATGTAACTCTCAGTTCTGGAATACTGAGCTGGAATTTGCTCTGGGATGTGTGCCTGGCTGGTTGCCAATCACAAGGGAGAGCAGTGCCTTTTGGCAACTCAGAGCAAGACATATCCAGAGTCCTCAGTAGTACTCCTGAGGGTAACAGCAGCTGAGGGTAGATAGGATTGGACATTTTCCAAAGCATCTGGAGCAAGTGAGCCTCTTAAGCCAGGGCTGCCCAGTGCTCTCATTGTGATCTGGAACTATTAGAGAGGTGTCTGTATACTGGAATAGATATTAATTACTGCAGTGTATGATTGCTTGGGCCAAACAAGGCTCCTAATCCTTTCTTTGCATTTTTGACTTTCTTATCTCAATCATCTCCTAATGTGAAGTAGTGTAGGCCAACACACAAGGTGTCCAGCAGCTGGAACTCACCTGCCCTTTCAGTATTCATGTATCTACCTTAATAATAAGGAACCAGTAGCTGGTGTTCCACCCTGCTGGAATGACTGTCTTCCAGCCTCCACAGAAGTTAGTGTTGATGCCCTTTTTACTGGAATTTTGCTTTGCTATGAGCACCAACCCGACTGAATTTATCCTGCACAGCCTGGTAATAACCAGTGTTTCCACAGGGCATGCAGAGGCTGGAACTTCAGTAAGAGGAACCTGCTTCTTTTTTGCCATTTGTACTTGGTAAAATACATCTGAATCCCTCTCAAACAGTTTGCCTGACTAATAGCAGCATCTCACATCCCATCTTAAAAATATTCTAGCAATGAGATAATTACAGAAGGAAATAGGCTATATTTTCTCAAGAAATTGAAATGCTAGTTTAATTTGCTAGAAGTGCTCAGGGAAATTGTTTTTCATGAAAGTTCAAGTTTCTCCACATGGACCACTGCAGCAGAAGACCATCCTTCTGTGCTCAGATCCACAGGAAAACTGTAAGTTGCATTTTACATTTCTTCCAGCTGGAGTTTCAAAAATTAGCAAAGATCAGTTGTCATCATTTAGCTTTACATTTTCTAAAATCTCTATTCTTACAGAGTTTTGGGTGGCTTTTTTTGCTGTGTTTCTGTTTGCTTGTTTTAATACAGATGAAGTTTAATGAATAGTGTTGTCCATACATAAAGATAACAGAATATGGAATTTCAAGACAACACAGGCAATATTGAGCACAAGAGTTTTAGCTGTTTGGATAAAGGGTTCAGTCCTGGGCCTAGGTACAAAGTTGTGTAAGTCATATCCCTGTATCTCTCTTTACCTGATAAAAATTTAGTACATTGTGCTTCAGACTACAGAACAAAACAGAGAACTGATGTTTTCAAAGTTTTCTGACATCCTTTGATGAGATTGGAAAACTGAAGCTTTGCACACTTATGGAAAAATCTGAAAACCTTGTTGCCCTTCACTATTTTAATGATGAAAATGTAACAATAATGTAGCTCCCAATCAAAAGCTGAAGTCTGCAAAGCTGCAAAAGTATTTTTAAAACTGCTTTATAAGCAACACTTCACTAGATTGGTACTGTGAAAGATTATTCTTTAAGAAAAGCTTAGCACTTTCAACACTTTCAGCACTTAAACACAGAGAGATATCACATTTTTAATGTATTTTGAAGTTTATTTTTCTTAATAATTTTTAGGTCAAAAGCATTGTATGTAACCAAGAAGTGCACAGCACTGAATGCATTACTGACATGCACAGCTCAGAGAGGACCAAGGAGACAACTCACACACTTCTGCATAAAGTACGTAACATCCATTGATGATACCTGTGTAGCAATCTATGGGAAAATGAAATTTATAACATCTTCATTTATTTTAAGTGTAGTCTGTTGTGTATATACAAAATCAGAAAAATATATTCCTTTTTTCTTATATACACTATATAACATGAGGATAAAATCTGGAATAGTTTGCAGTAACTTAGATGAGACTGGACTTTCAGATACAGAGCTTTAGAAACACCTCTTCAGCATCGTTTGTCTTGGACCATTGTGATAAAAAAGTTGCAGAAAGAAAGCAAACTTTCTGGACAGTATTCCTCAGCCACCTTTCTCTGGTCAATGTAATCTACATCTTCAACACAGTCCTGAGGACTTTGTTCCGGTGTTTTTTCAGACACAGAGGCAGTTGTTGGAGTCAGAACTTCTTGCACGTGATGCTTTGTGTTCCCTTTGTCAGCACCCACTGCTGTTAGTAGGCTTGAGTGGGTCAGCCTGAGGTGAGCACTTTGTGGGCCTTTCCTGCATACTTTAGATTTTAGTACACTTTTGGGGTCTTGACAGATCTGCTTCTGCTTCTTTAGGGATCGGGAGACTTGTTTCCAGTAGGTTTTCTGGTTTGCTGCATACTGTGCACAGCTGGAAGGGTCTCCAGAGAATTCACACCAGAACTTGTTGTCACCCTGCTTGCACTCCACGTGCACAGTAGCAGCATTCATGTCTGCCACTGCCCAGGTGCACTCAGCGTTCTCTTTGGTTTCAAACTTGCCTCTAGGAGATGATTTTCCTCCTTTTGACTTCTGCACTTTTTCATTTCCTTGGGTAGATGCAGTTGGGGTTTTTCCACCATCTTTTATGCCTTGTCTTCCCTTTTTTCTTTCCCTCTGTCTTTCACAATTGGCTAGCAACATCTGGGAGACCAGCATCAACACACAAAGGAGGCCAAAGCTCTTGATCCTCATGGTCTCTGTTTTGCTGTTATCTGCCTTCAGAACAAACAAACAGAAACATAAAAACATTTTCAGTTAATGCTGGACTCTATTTGACAGTTGAAGTTTTTCAGACATGGCATTGCACTACTCTTTGATACTTATTAAAGTGATGTTATTGGCAAAATGATCTCTCCTTTGTGTAAATAATATCTGGTTTCTAGAAGCACTACGAATTATCCTCGTAAATGGCTGCAGAGTAAATTCCAGTAATTTAACTATTTATACAATGGGGAACAGAAGATTCACTGTCAGGACACAATACTGCCCAGTAACTGAGGTACCTTAATTAAAATCTCTATTGTAGTCAGCAAAGGAATATGAACCTGGGATTTGTCAATCTCAGATATCTTAAGTTACAACAATAAATTTGTTTCCACAATCTCCCACTTTGTAAAATGTCCCATAAGTGATTTTGACCTCTGGCTATTCTTCGAAGATATGCCAGACAGAAAGGAAACCATTTGTTTCAAATTGAGAAAAACTATTTTGTAGTCATCCTGAAAATCATTGTAATTCACTGGTTATGACGGCATTTCAGTTTTCTGTTGAAATAAATTATGGTAGTCTTTCCAGACATCAAAAAGTAACTATTGATGCATTCTTTGCCCCTTTGACTGCTAAACAAACAGAACTACCTTTTTGCTTTTGAAGATACCTGCAGGGTACTGGACTGTGTCTAAAGCTACCAAATTCAAGGGATAAATATGCAGCTTCAGTTTTGAAATGTAGCTAGTGAGCAACTTATTATCAAGCTGATTTCTGCATCTGCACAGGACACATTTATTTCCATAGGTGTTTCTTTTTATGAAGCAGCTTTCAGGATTAGAGCAGGGTTTAAATCAGATATTTAGATGATTAAATCCCTAAATGTATTTTTCAAATGTTTCCATCATAGTAATTTCTTAAGCCAAGTTTTCATGTTGGAAAGCAGAAATTCGTGTGCAGCCACATTAATAAGGAATCTGTTTCAACATTCAGTTATCTGCAAATATCTTTGGTAGCATAAATTTAGAATGTAGAACACACAGGTTTCAGCATATGTGAGCAGGTCTTACTTTCACATATTTTTGACTTGACTTGCTTCAAGCCTTATACTATACACAAATTTTCAGTCCATAAAACCCTCTTTAGAGAACCTCATGTAGTATTAACAGCTCTGTTGCAAATACAGCAACTAATAACATTAAAATGAATAAAGGTTTGACAGTAATATTCTATTGCAAGTGGAACAGTGCAAAGAGTAAGATAACTGAAGGACATACCTTGCACGGGGATTCCCAAACGCAATCCTGACGCAACTCACCTCTTTCAAAAGTGGAACTCGTTGTAAAAGCAGCGCGGTTTTTATAAAGGCAGAGACACACCTTCAGGTCTCCAGTCAGACTATTACAACACAATAGGATACTTCAGTGCCATGTTCACTTACCTCTGACACACCTCCTTGGAAAAGGGCCAGTTCTCATTCTTAGCACAAGAAAAAAAAAAGGCCTGGCTATGGTGGGTGACAAGCTGTGCTTGCGTAATTTAGGTGTTACTTTAGCCAAGTCCTTCCCTCCTCATGAACAACGATAAGAACTCTATCAGGTCATGAGCTTCTCTGAAAGAGCTGTTACCAGCTATTGAGGGATGTTTCCTGCACATCCTCAACAAGTTTCACTACCATTTCGTTTAGCAGAATTTGATAATGATAGTGAGAACCACTCCACAAAGCATTTCAAAGTTACCTTTCAAAATGTAATGAAGTACTTCAAAAAACCAAAGTAACTATTTGAATAGTAAGTAATACGAGTCCAGAGCAGGTCAGTAAGTCAAGGGCTGGAGTACCTCTCCAGGCCGGTGCAGGCCATTCAGCCTGGAGAAGAGAAGGCTCCAGTGAGATTTTACAGCAACATTTCAGTACCTAAATGGGGATTACAAGAGAGCCAGAGAGGGACTTTTTACGAGGGCGTGTAATAGTACGACATGGGGTGATGGTTTTAAACTGAAAGAGTGTAAGGCTGGATGAGATGTAAGGAAGAAATTTCTTTTTATGATGAGGTTGGCGAGACACTAGGAGAGGCTATCCTGAGAGGTTGTGGACTTCCCATCCACAGAAGTGTTCAAGAGCAGGCTAGACAGGGCTCTGAGCAACCTGGTCTAGTGGAAGGTTCTCTGTCCATGGCAGAGAGATTGGAGTTAGATGATATTTAAGGTCGCTTCCAACCCAAACCATTTTAGGATTCTATCATTCTGCATTTAGGATGGTGAGATAGTGAGATGGTCATTTATGATGAAATGGTCAGAAGCATGAAACTCAGAAACAAATTCAAACTCCTGCAGAATTAGTGACTGAGAAGTCTAAGGGTTGAGTTCAGCTGCACAGCACTGATCTACACTCCTCCCTCTGCCAGCTTTTGTGTGTGTAAAGAAGTGTGTTACATCATGAGATTTCATTATGGGACCACATCTAATGCATATTAACCTGGAAAAGAAGATGTGAGTGAAACAAGCATTAGACAAATATAGAAACACATTCAGAGCTGGGAATAGGCATCCCCCAAAGAATGGATAGAGCAGCTGGTAGCTTTGTAGCTTGGTTGCTTCAGGTGGTTTTGCTGAAGAAATGTGAGGCATTTGTTATATAAGCTTTGGAAATACAAGAATTAAAAAGGGATGCAAGAACAGAGAAAAGTAGAAATTAGCCTAAGATATAGGCAGGTATTCCTCTTTGGCTCTTTCCTATTAGATATAAATGGAATTAAACAAAGGGACAAAGCTATAGACACAGCATTGTCTGGACTGGTTTGGTGACAAGGAGACTGTTAACTCTCTGTAAAAAACCCCAAACAACAGAAGCAAGAAAAGGAAGAACAGTGCAATTCTTCAATGACTGTAGGACAGAAGTGTGCATTTATTTGAAATATGAATGGTCTGATCTGTGTATCAGGACTACCTCCTATTCTATGTATGTGCAGCTATCTTTGATGCTTCTTGATGGAGTTCAGGCACCACATCTGCCTTGTGCATCTTTGGTTGGCAGGAGTTACTATGAAACTGTTTGCAAAAGTCTGCTAAATGTGACAGACTTGTGGTTAACACTGGCAAAGGCTGATGATGGGGGCAAGGATGTTTAACAATATGTCAGGTTGGAAGGGAATCAGAGAATGAAAGCAATGTAAGAGAGTAGTAAGCAAGGTACTATCTTGCTCAGGAATACTAAACTGACGTTACATAGTATACACAGTACTATCTAGAGTATTTAGGATTTAGCAGGGATCCTCAAAACTGTGCAGCTGTATTAGTGTGGCTCTCTGCTGTAGTTAATGAGCCTCTCAGCAGGGCTAATTACTCTGGGGACACCATAAAGCCAAAGGGCTATGCTAACCTCACATTCTGGTACTAATTTAGGTATGGTTTTATCGTGCCTGATTGCTTGTATAAACATACTATAAATTGATTTTTGTGTGACAGATTAGGGTATTGGTTCAGCTATAGGAGCCTGAGCAATCTGGTTTCAGGACCAAAGCCAAAAACCTAATCAAACCACAACACACACCTTCCTACTGCAGTTGTCCTATCAGTTGATCAGAACAGTCACCTTCTTCAAATGTCATCCTGGAAAGAAAGTACACAAAATTAAAGTAGGAGCTTCATTTCTTAGGTACTTAATTGGTATCTAATTGCCAAAAAAAAAATTTCTGCAAAAGCCTGTTTGTAATATGATTTCCAAGAATGTATTTTTTTTCTTTCTGCCATGCACATTTTAAAATTCACCTTAGTTGTGGACTTTGCTGGGTTGAAATGCTGTTTGCCTGTAAAGTGCAGACATGGTTTTGCCACAAAACAAACAGGGCAGATAATTCATCAAAAGACAATTTGATCCACACAATGAATGGCAAATGTGGATGGCTAATTTGGTGAAGTCAAATCTATGGAGAGCTGTTTAGTTATTAAAGTAGAAAGGCACTACATTTCCATTCTTAAGTAAACAAGCTTCAGTCAAAGAACTCGTAACTTGATTTCCTTTTTGATTCTATAAGTCTAGGATTTACAGGACAGTAAGCCAACAGCCCTAAGTGCCGAAACCCTTTTATATAGCAACAAAATAGTTACCACACAGACAGTGGCTCCACTGCCAGCTCTTCTGTATCTCACTGCCTATGCTCAACACTTCAGAAGAATGTTCCATAGCCTACTGTCACTTCTCTGAAAGAGTACAGTTAATTTAAAATGTGATGATGGCTTCAATGCACTGAGATCTGCTTATTAACTATTCTACATGGAGGTACAATTATTTGAAAGAAGCTGAAGAAAACTCATCAGTTAACAACTTTCAGTTACTTCGGGCCTGGGGTTAAATTCATATTAGTTAAATAAATATGAAAGAAAAAAAAAAGGCACTAGATTCTCTCTTCATTGAGTCTTTAACAGTGTCCAATTATTTCACAAACTGACCAAAACTGACACCCAAATTTGGCAGAACAGTGTCCAAGTGAAAGTTGATATCACAAAACCTCAATAAAAAAAAACAAATACAAGGTAATTCAAACAAATGTTAAGTGTAAGTCAATCACAGAACAACAGACACCATATGACTGCTGTATATTAATTTTAAACTAATAAAAAAGAGAATTTTACAAGACTAAATAGTAAGGACATTATATTATAGCAATTAAATTCTAGTCCATGCAGAGGTTCACATTTGAGAACTAAATTCCTGAAACACTAATGAATTGAACACTGCTGCTTCATGCAGTGGTTATCTATGAGTGAAACCAACAGCTTAATAATTTTATCCATCACTTGCAGGTGTAGTATTACTGATTCCCTTCCTCATCTATGAAGTTCATAGTTTTTGCTTGTAGTGCTTCTTCATTTACTTGCTGCATTATGTTGGCCACATTTTGATTAAAATATTTTGACATTCATTACTGCCAGGGTGTATTTTCTGTTCAGCAGAGGTCTAACCCTCTTGACTCCCAGCTCATGCATGGCAGTCAGCAGTTGTTAATCTATTCCCTTGCTGCCTACTGAACACACTGTCACGTGGAGTTGGAAAAGAGAGAGTTTGTTTTCAAACCTGCAGAGCTTTATCTCTGTAGGCAAGGACAGAGGCATTTTCAGAAAAATATAAGTGGTTTTAATTAACCCAAGGAGATCCAAGCCAGTGATGGAATATGACCACTAGAAAAAGGAAATCCCTCTTGTTTAATGAGGTAACACAGAGGAAAAAAACCCATATATATAGGAGACAGAAAATTTTGATGCCAAATGGAGTTTACTGAGTGTTTCACCTTGGCAGGAGGAGGCCTTCTGAATTCAATAAGGGTAGGAAATTTGCAATGTCTTCTCTCCCTTAATTTTATTTTGAAAGTATATTAGGCCAACCTTAAAGAAAATTTGCCTCGACTCTGAAGCAATTCAAAGAAGTATAAATAATTGCCATTACTAATTAAACATGATTACCCTCTTCTATACAGGATGTTAGATGCTGATGTCATAATAAAAATTATTGTTACGATACAAGAGTTGGTGGCAAACATATCCAAATCTAAACAGATCCTAAGATTTTGATCACTTTATATTTGCATTTGATAATGCTACAGGATTACCAAATAAGATGAGATTTCATAGATTAAAAAAAACCCTGTTTTTTCTTCTTCTGTAGGATTTATCTTTCATAGAATAGAAAGGCTATATTTTATATATATAAAGAAAAAATTCTTACAAGAAAAAGAACATGAAATGGAGGGATACTAGACTGAAATGTGTTTCATACTGATTTTTCCAATATCAGGAAGAACTTATCCTCAAAATCTGATTTTATATATTTTCATTTACTTTTAGCTCTAATGGAAGTTAATCACTTCTCTATCTCAAGCACAGCCAAAGATTTCCCAAGAACAGTCATTTCATTGTCCTGTGGTTTTATTTGAGCAGGCTGGCTGCTGGATTTATTACCATAGATTCAGTATATTCAGGGCATGCTCAAGTTGATTTGGTAGCCAAGGGAAACAACCACTGACTAATTACCATCTTGGTCTGCTAAGGTTTTCATAGCTTAGAGCAATGCAAAAGCCTGTCTGTCTGACCAGAAAATCAGAAATACAATCAGACAAAGGATTGCCCTCTTATAGAGAAATAAAGTGAGTAAAATAACAAAAAGATTGTAAATTACTGGTTGCCATTAGTCTACTCAGGGTAATGGCAAGTCATGCATAACTATGAGAAGGCAGAATTGGACACATTACACAAAATCATCAGATGGTATTGCTGGAACACAAGGGACTGTCTTACAGCTCAGTGCAGTCTACCATAAGCACTGCACAC